TTTGTCGCTACCTAGCCCCATCTCAACCTCTTGGTTAATTGGGCTAGGTAAGCCTTCACTTGTATCGTAGTACATATTGCTAATACACTTGGTTAATTGGGCTAGCTGAATAAGCTAACACAGTAGTCGCCAGACCTCGTCGGCGCCGCCTCCTAGTTAGATCCACGCAGTATCCTTAGTGGTGTGTTGACGCAAGTCCACATCATTAATAAAATAGGAGGCTGGGGCTACGCCCACGACAGTATGGCCTGAAATACACCAGATTACTACTTCTGGCTTTGCAATTTTGAAAACTTATGGATGAGGTTGTTCCAACAGCTCCGAAGTTGATGAACAACACTATGCGCGCAACCTCTTCCGGCCCCTGATTGTGTGCTACAACTTCATTGATAATCCACTGCAAGAGGTCGTTCTATGCTTGGGTTAGAAATATGCTAGATCTGCGCCACCAAGGTGACACACTGGCTTGTCTACCCAGTCCTTCCCAAACCTAGTCATCATGGTCATCTGGTCATCAATGGCTGGCCGCAGGTAGTCGAGACATTGTTGAACGCGTTTATCAATGACTGTGGCCTTTCTGCTGACAATGCGCTTCATAAAGCCGGGGAGTATTGCTAGAAGCTCCACCGCTTTGCTTACATCCTCTGCAAAGTGTACCATCATGTGTACATAGCCACTGTCCCAACCTGAGTGCAATGCTTGTCAGTGATCCAGTTCCCTGCAAAATTTGCATTGGCACCTACAAGTAGGCATGCCAACAAACATGCAGTTTGCAACACGTGTAACAATTGTGTTCATGACAGGAGAAGCATGGACTGGCAACCAACCTAGTGGAGATATCAGCCAATCTTGGTACTACCATATCCCAGGTTATCCTACGCACAATCGCTGTTCGCAGGAATATGCTCCCAGAAGGCCGCGGTGAGCTTGTCAAACATTTCTTCAAATAACAACGTGAGATTACGCGTGAGATTTCGTAGTATTGGCACATGAACGGGATCTTTGTGCCAGTTAGAGTCAAACATGTGAGGCATCTCGAGAATCTGACGTTGAGCAGAGGAATATAGTCGCATCATTTTTGTGCCAATCTAGCTGAGGAATGCACACCTCTGTCGTAGCGGATGATACTGTGTTGTCCGGCATCTTCTGTAGCTTGTCGACCAACTTCTTACTGGAGAGCACAACAAGCCAGCGATCCACCATGGCGACCTTGAAAGTTCTGTCCTTGTGCTATATATGACACAGTTAGCATAGCCACTACAGGAGGATACAATGAACACACCCGCTGATAACCTCGCTGCATAATCTCTCTTCCATGGGTGAGGAAGTTGTATAGCCTGATGAAAGAGATGATTGGAAAAGAGGGTCCACCTTTGGTCGGGATATGATGGAGCTGCAGTTGATGGTATCGTAGCTGGGGAGTGGAGTGAAGTCAAGGACATACATTCTTTGCGCTCAAGTGGCAGATGAGCAGCCATACGAGAGCAACTCCAGCAACAACTTGCGCTGTCGTAAGCTCTCCAACATATGACAATGGGATGCTTGTCATAGGTTTCAGGCTGCGACTGGTGACGATGACTATTCAGAGAGAAACTCTTTGGCATGCAAGCTTCCTGAGCCATGTCTTTTATACAATGAACTGGACCCCACTGTGTTAATGCTGAACGGTGAATGTCTCGGCAATCGGGCTCAACTCAAACTGTCTGATGTATGGTAGCAGTTTCAGTTTCTTGATGCAGACATCATTTGTTTCATCCTCCACTGGGCGGTGTGCTTGAAGCTGAAGTGTTAATGGGTGAAGATTGGTCTATCAACCCTTCATTCCACAAGTTTTTTGTTATCCAGCCAGCCAAACCGTGACAGTGCTGCACTTGTTGAACTTCGCCTTCAAAGACTTCATGAATACGCTTTGACCGCCTCATCATAACAACGTCACAGCTCAGTGATCTTAATCACCACCCTAGCTTTAACTGCACTGATCTTGGCATGGAGTCTCAGCGATCAACCTCTCGACGATTCGTCTTCATGATGGTTTTATAGTTCTCGGATACCAAAGCAAGACCTTTGACACTTTGGCTATCCAAAACTACAGACCCTACACTGAGCGTCAAAAGTAAATGAACACCCACTCAACATTCTCGTTCTCCGCGACCCCTGAGTTTTAAATGCCAGAAATATTTGTGCGAGATGTATCATACATAAGAACACTAAATATAAATTTTTGAAAGCTTTAAGCAGATTGCAAGAATGTTATGAAAGGATGACATCTCAACTCACACTCAAGCTGGCACTTTGGATGGAAGTTTGGCCATGCTCTGCCAAAGTACCGTGGCCTATGCACCCAAATTTTTTGTAGGATGCTTCACCCCTTGCTCCTAGTAACCAGGGCTATTCATAAGGGGA